TAATTGCTTTATGCCATTAATTATTGAATATAATTGTAACAAATAATAGTTATCTACAAAAGGAAATAGTATTCGACACTAAGTATAGTACAATAAACAATACTTTTTAGCATTGTTTTTTATTTTAATAGTGTCCAATACTGTACGATTAAAAGATATCATCAATTATTGAAAAATAGTGACAAATAACAATGACAAAAGTCTTTAAACCAGCCTTTTTTTTAGGCCAAACACATAATCTTACAAAGAAATTAATAACAATTCCAACTGAGGATAGAACACATAATAAAGCAAAAAGCACAATAATGCCACCAGCTAAAAAAAGAAAAAACAACATTTGCTTCACACACCAAGGACACGTTTGATAGATAGTACTAAACAATGCTTTTCGGATAAGATTTTAACTTAACTTTCTCTTTAATCCTATCCCCGTGCAGTGTAACGAACGCTACATACCAAGTTGATTAAGAAAACACAACCAAATGAGGGCTTGAAATTGAAATCTTGATCTATGCACACTTGAAGCCTGGAGGAATGGTATTGCCACAAGCACTGACCAGCACACTCAGTGCAACTGGCACATTCAAGTTAATTCCAAGCACATTAGCCTTAATGGCAGTACAAAGACAAGCTGCAACTTCCAAGTCAGCCAGCCCTGCTAGAACAGCACAACATTTGTCCGATGGCAGGGTCCCAACAACAACGTTAACAAGTCCGAGGAGATCAACACAGGCGCCAAGCTTCAACGTGTCCCTAGGGCAGAAGGATGTCGCCGGTATGCATGTGCCACATCCATGAGTGAACGTGACGAAAAAGAGGAGGGAGAAGATCAAAACGATCGAGAAAGGATTGATGGAAGCCATTGTTGCTAGCTTGGAAAACTATATGGTGCTCTTGTTGATAAAAGGAAGGTGTCCTATATAAAGATAGAATGTGAGGTCTTTAGTGGAAGAGTGAAAAATGACAATGGTGTACAAGTTGGATTTTTGTAATCTTGTGCAAAAAATATCTGTTTTAATTTGTGGTTATTGTGAGTTATTTCCCAGCATTGGAT